ACTACAAGCATGCTTACTGTGAGGGATTGCCTTTGAGTAAATAAGTAGATGCAGTGAACTGTTTTTTCTTAGATAGAAAATTTAATAAATTAGATTGTATGATATGGTTGAACTGTAAAGTGCCTCGAGATGACATGTATTGTGAATTGGCGCTATATAAATAAATTGAATTGAATTGATCCAAGCCTATACCATGATACCTTTCCACCATTAGAGCCTGTGTGCAGGCCGAGAAATCACTGCTGTCCAGTCCTCCAGATCCTCCCAGATTCCCTGAATGGTTTCAGGATGTGTTCCTCTGCAGGTCTTTTTTAGTAATCGTTATTAAAGATGCTCTGAACATGTATGCTCTTCAGAACCTCAGTCTGTTTTGGATGCTGCCTCAGGATCAGGATCAGGATCACAGCTTAATTTCTCTGAATACAGAGCAGCCCACGTTAGATGTTTATAGAAATCAGTCAACAAACCACTCATTAAACGGATGAAGTTATCTGCAGGTACAGGAAGGTCAGATATGAAGAAGAACAATCTTCTTTGGATTCTCTTCTCTTTCTCATCTGCTGGAACTCAAACTCTTTTGCTCCTGCTGATGGTTTCTGAGCTCTGGAGCAATCTGATAAACTCTGGATATCAGAGCAGAAAACTAAAAGCTGCTCTGATTACAACAAGTACAGATTATCCTCCAGACATGCAAGCAGCTGCAGAGGGAATCACTTCTTACCTCCATCTTCTCCATCATGTCAAAGAAATGAGCCGACTGCAGACAGAAAGGAGCCACGGTTAAATAGTTTACTGTAGGTTTTACCTTGAATAACAGTTTTTAACAATCATTTCTGTGGAGCAGCCGTGGTGGTGAAGCTCCTTACCTTCATGGTGGGGGGTGCTGTGCGGGGGGGAGAAGGGGGACACTCTTCCACAGGAACATTAGAGATGGTCAGCAGGTCCTGCTTACTGCAACAAAAGAGGAAATCTTCAGTGACATGAATCATGAAGCTGCATCATTAAAAACGAGAAGCAGGTTCCTCTAAATCCCTGCATCCATTCGAACCCGTCCTCTCTCTTTATCACCTGGTTTCAGAACCGTTTGTGTCCCGGTGCTTTAAAATTTATCTCAGATAAGAGATGAGTTTCTCAGAATCTGGAGTCTTAATCTTTCTCCTGCTTGGGTCCGTCCTCACATCAAGCAGCTAATGAGCCAGAAGGAGATCATTTCCTTGGCCCTCAGGCAGGTCTCTCTCTGGTTCCATCAGCAGATTAGAAAGCTGACAGCAGAGTCTGGGATGAGCCGTCTGCTTCAAATGATTTCCCTTTTTCCAACACATGGATGAATCATCCCCATTTCACCTTGATAACAATGAGTCATGATTCTGCCTCAATAACTTGCTGCTTCTCCTGAATACGGATCTAATGTCTGATGACTCAGTCTGTCCATAAACATCTTTGTCTGTGAGGATGTGGTTCTGTTAGCGTCTTAGGGTTGTGATCTTCAGCAGTTCAGAGCTAAGGTCAGAGGTCAACCTCTGTCTAAAGGCTGGGTTATGCTCAGAAACCAGTTTGCAGATATGCATCCCTCACACACACTTCTGCAGACACCCTGGTGCACCTCCCCAAAATTGTAGGTGACCGCAGACAGTCGCAGGGAGGAGAGAAGGGAGGCCTCTGATTGGTCAGTTCTACATCTGTTCCACACTATTCTTATTTCCTGTTTGATACGAGAAATAAGCGCCTTGGCACATCTCAGACACTATTCCAGAAACCTTGGAGGATGCTAGTTTGTAGCTCTGAGCGACGGTCTGTTGGATCGCAGCCGAAGCCAAAACTTGCAGCGCCACGGCCAGTCTTTGTGGAACTTTTAAGGGTGAACTGTGTGTTGTCTGGTGTTTGATGAGGGGTTGTAGACTGTGAAAAAACTTGACAAACCGACACACAGACAACCACAATCCTAGCTAGTTCATTATTGTCCCTCTTGTGTTGCGGCGTGGAATAACATAGTGTAGACAATACTTCAATATTTGGCATAAATCAAAAATATCTGCGTCATACCTACGACAAGCTCACTGCGACAGACTGCTGCGGGAGTATAACCAGACCTTAAAGGAGAATTCCGGTTTTTAACACTTTTAGCCCATTTTCTGTAGTGTCCAGGATGAAATCGAATGATCGACACCAAAATTTTGACAATTGGTC